GTCTGTCTCCCTAGAGATAAGGGAGAAATAGAATGTCAATAATTGCAAAATTCAGGTGACCGATATAAGTAAAGTGTATATGTGTGTTCGTTGCATCATTATTTAAACTTTTTTGAATGTTTGAAAATGTTTGTAATACAAAGTTTGGGACAAATAAACTTATAAATAAATTATGTCAGCCGTTATCCGAACTTTCTGCATGATTTTTGATAGAAATAGTGGAGTAGCACTTTATTGGATCAATGTGCTTTGGAGGTTAAGAGATCCTATCTCTTAAAAAAAAAAAAGTGCAAATCTATAGACCATGAATGATACATAGTTGTCTCTAAGCTTCCTGTATGCAAAGTGAAAGGGGAGATATGGTCTATTAGGTTGCAAACCCTTGGGCCTTAAATCCTTTCTGGATTAAAGATAAGTGGGAAATGACTAGCTAAATAACAGATGGTTAGTTAGTTCTTACTTCTTATTAATCAAAAAGACAAAACATACCAGATCCTCAGAGAAAGCAAAACGTTACATGTCACTTAGCCTAAAAGAAATACATCGGCATGGGCGCAATGGCTAATGCCTATAACGTCAGCACTTTTGGGAGGCCAAGGCAGGCAGATCACCTGAGGTCAGGAGTTTGAAACCAGCCTGGCCAATATAGCGAAACTCCGTTTATGCTAAAAATACAAAAATCAGCCAGGCATGATGACGACTTCTGTAGTCCCAGCTACTCAGGAGGCTGAGGCAGGAAAATTGCATGAACCTGGGAGGCAGAGGTTGCCGTGAGCCGAGATCACACCTCTGCACTCCAGCGAGACTCTGTCTCAAATAAAACAAAAAGAACAGGAAAGGAAAGAAAAGAAAAAGAAATCTTTTGTGTGGGCCTTCATGTGGGAGTACTAAGTGACATACTGGCCAGGGCCTTCCAAAAGCCCTGTAGCAAATGCAGCCTCCGGGTTCACAAGGCTGTTTCTTGTACTGTTCCGCTAAGAGACCTGTGTGTATAACACTAAAGATATCCCAGGGGTTCAGGACAATACAGTCTGGATACATATTTGGGGCTGATTTGTTCCAAGGATGGATCCTGGGCTCTGGGGCACATGGCGTTTAGGGTTCTGTGACAGGGCCACAGGCAGTGGAAGGGAGGAGGGTGGACTGGGATACAGTGCAGGGAGAGCCTGGCCTCCAAAGGACTTTGTTATTTGTTTTATGGGCTGGGGTTTGCTTTGGAATTAAGGATTTTTAATTCTAAAGAAGTTTGAATTCCACCAATTTAGATGGTTGCATACGCTTCAAGCAACCCTTCACAGATATCACTTTCCTCAGCCCCCCTTTGAATAAAAATGAGATGGCAGCTGTTTTGCAGTTAGGGTCTGTGGTGAGGGCCTGGAGTGCAGGTATTCTGAGCTGAGTGAGGGCTCATCTCTCATTCTTGGTGATCAAACTGGTAAGCTGAAGGTTATATCCTCTTTTAGAAATTAGGGAGCTGAGTCAGCACTTTTGCTGAAGTGTTTTACTAGAAGGAAAAAATACTAGTTTTAGAATCCAGAGAGTGGTCAAAATGTTTTCAAACAATAGAGTTCAAGACTTTGAGCCTTGACTTTGAGAAGTTGCAGAATTTTAACAGCTCAGCCCTCTACCTCTACTTCTGGTCCCAGGAAGAAAAGGACTTCAGATGTGAGGTTGGGTTCTTCAGAACTTACTCAGTACTTTGAATGTTTAAAATCAAAGGTAGAAATAGAGTGATGACTACAAAATACTAACGTTGAGTATTTGGCAGGTTGTTTTGTTTTGGGACACACAAATAAGGAGAAATGTTATTTTATTGCTCCGTACATCATTGGTAGGTTTTCATTTGCTCTATAAAATGTAAATAACCATAGTATTTGTGTGTCTGTGTTATAAAAGTCTATAGTCCCTGAATAATTAGTTTATGTATGTTTATAAATTAGGTTAAGCTATACAAAATTGCTGTTTTTGTGCATCGAAAAATGGTTAAATATGTTTCTTTTGTTTTAACATAATATTTTAAAATATTATATGATTGTATTTAAAGTAAACATGAAATTATTTGATCTGTAAACCTGAAAGGAGTTTATTATTTTTATTTTTTGAAACAGAAAAAATGCCTGTCTTAAAGGCTGAAGCATCACACTATAACTCTGACTTAAATAACTTGCTGTTCTGCTGCCAGTGTGTGGACGTGGTATTTTACAACCCCGATTTAAAAGAAGTTATAGAGGCCCACAAGATCGTTCTCTGCGCTGTAAGCCATGTTTTCATGCTGCTTTTCAATGTGAAGAGTCCCACTGACATTCAGGATTCCGGTATCATCCGAACTACCCAGGATCTCTTTGCTATAAACAGAGATACTGCATTTCCAGGTGCTAGCCAGGAATCGTCAGGCAACCCACCATTACGAGTCATTGTTAAAGACGCCCTCTTCTGTTCTTGTTTGTCAGACATTCTTCGCTTCATTTATTCAGGTATCTTGTCAAGTGGTTCTGGTTACTTATAATCTCATAAGCTTTAGAAATGGAATGTGTCTGTGGTGCTCAAGAGTACTGGTTAGTTTTACGGTGATCTTTTTCTTACCATCTGAGATGAGAGTATACACGAAATATTGTTTGCTTTATATATAGGAATTGGTCCAAGCTTTCTGTTTTCCTTACAAATTTACCTGCCTCATTCTTTTCCTATCAATTTTGTTTTGTGGTAAAATACATAGAACATAAATTTTACTATCTGAACCATTTTTAAGAACACAGTTCAGTGGTATTAAACACATTCATAATAGTGTGTAACCATCACCACATCCATGTTCATAATTCTTTTCATCTTATAAAACTGAAACTCTATACCTATTAAACAATGATTCACCATTCCAAACTCTTTCCAGCCCTGACAGCCACCATTCTACTTTCTGTCTCTATAATTTTAATTCTCCTAAGTGCCTCCTATAAGTGGCATCATACAGTATTTGTCATTTTGTTACTGACTTGTTTTACCTAGCATAGTGTCTAAAGGTTCATCCAAGTTGTAGCATGTATCAGGATTTTCTTCCTTTTAAGGTTGATGATAACTATAGACCACATTTTGTTTATCCATTCATTCATCCATGGACACTTGGGTTGCTTCCACTGTTTCAGCTGTTGTGAATAATTTAGATGTCGTGAATTCACTGTTGTGAATAATAATAATGTACACATATCTCTTTTGAGACCCTGCTTTTAATTTTTTGCCTATATACACAGAAGTGGAATTGCTAGATCACATGGTAATTCTATTTTTAACTTTTTACGGAATTGCCATACTGTTTTCCACAGTAGCTCTACCATTTTACATGTCTGCAAACAGTGCACAAGGGTTCCAATTTCTCCACATCCTTGCTAACACTTGGTATTTATTTTTTTTTAATAGTAGCCATCTTCATGGGTATAACGTGGTATCTAATTTTGGTATTGATTTGCATTTCCCTAATGAGTAGTGATGTCAACCGTCTTTTCAAATGTTTTTGTATTTGCCTTGGTTTTAAATCTACTTGTAAAAACAATAATCTACCAAACAGGTATGTTTAGTAATAAATATTTTGTTACTTAAAAAAAAAATCCAAAATATGAGATGTGAGAATTTATTATACAATTTAGTTTTAAAGAAATAAAATATTCCAAGAGTAAATGAAATCAAGTGTCTATACCTTAAAACCTAGCTATTCACTCTTCAGTTTGACTCTTAGATTTTGTAGGGAGTCAAAGAGAATTGCATTCAGTTTAGGAACTGGAAATCAATATCCAGTGTTAGTTGAGGTCTGATCAACTTTGGCTATGACTATCACAGACGGTACTTTTTTGTTTTTAACTGTGCCCTTTTTAAGATTTAGCTTGTCAAGAATTTTTCCTCTTGCCCTTTTAAAAAATCAGTAGCAACTATATTTTAAAGATGGAAGTTCTATCTGAATCATTTTAGCAAATGAATTGAAGGTCTTTCATCTAAGTGTCCCATATAAGAATAGAAAAGAACAGATGTAAAATGAATCTTAATGTGTAAGCATCTAAATATAAGTTTTCTGAGAACTCCTCTCTTTAATTTTCTTTACTCACTTAAAATCATGTACGAATGAACTGTTAGCCAAGGTCGCGCCTTCTCTGCAATGTGTCTGGAGAAACATTTATCATTTGTTTTTAGGCTTCAAATAAAGCCTAATTGGAAACAGATAAAAAGCTTATTAAGGTTTGCAAAACAAGTATCATTTTATACAAGTAGGAAAATTGGGGGCAGCCTTTATTCTAAGTAATTGATGTTAAAAATAAGATATTACCTTTTTCATGTGGGTTGTGGTCATGTAATTTTATAAGTTAAAACTTAAGTTATGATTTTGAAAAATACGGTTGCAGCACACAGATTTATGTGGATAAAAATACATATTGGTGTAGAACATGGTGGTAGGTTAGTGAATATTGGCTTGGAAACGGCATAAATTAAGCACCAGTACGGCACATGCTCAGCACATTGCCTTCACTGAGTTCTCTATAAGTTTTAGTTGAATTAAAGAGTAGGCTCGTCATATGAATAAGCCAAACTAGTTGAAGACTTTGTTTAGTACTATAGATTTTAACATTTAAACTTAGAATATCACAGTTCAGAATTTAAAATTTTGAAAAACTAACATGTTTACATGTTAAGAGAAAAAAATGTTTTTAATAATATGTTTAAGGAACTGTGAGGGATGTGTTTGAGGATATTTTTTTTTTTTTTTTTTTGAGATGGAGTTTCACTCTTGTTACCCAGGCTGGAGTGCAATGGCGCGATCTCAGCTCACCGCAACCTCCTCCTCCTGGGTTCAGGCAATTCTCCTGCCTCAACCTCCTGAGTAGCTGGGATTACAGGCACGCGCCACCATGCCCAGCTAATTTTTTTTTGTAGTTTTTAGTAGAGACGGGGTTTCACCATGTTGACCAGGATGGTCTCGATCTCTTGACCTCGTGATCCACCCGCCTCGGCCTCCCAAAGTGCTGGGATTACAGGCTTGAGCCACCGCGCCCGGCCTGTGTTTGAGTTTTTATGCTGATTTTTCTGTTGAAATTATGTGAATTATCCAAATTTCCCACAATTATTATTGACGACTTTCAAAGGCACATGAGCACTCTGAAGTCTTATATACTTTTTAATACAGCAGCAGTAAAATAGCTAGATATATCTCCAGTGACTGGTCCTGCCTAGCTTTCTCCTGGGGGAGTGCTTTATTTAATTGCAAAATTAATACAGGCAGATAGGAAAAAAGGGAAAGAAAAGAAAAAGGTTATCCTTTTACTCCAGACCTCTTCCCCAGAGTCATTGACCTGTTCTAAATTTTTTATGCATTCATTCTGATACTGTGTGAAAGTGATTAATTTACTGGGGACATTTGCATTAATAAAAATGCAATCCTAGGTAGCTGCTGCTTTCCAGGGACCACAGGTGCTTTCTCATGGCAGGAGCATAGAGTGGAAGGTGATGGCTGGTGGATGATATAGTGGGCAAGGCCTGTGGAAGCTGTTCCTGCTGCTCTTAGACTTGTGCTAGAGTTCTAAGCATGATCAGACTGGGCTTTAGAAAGCTCATCTCTGGTGGTGGTTGGAGAGTGGAACAGTGCAGCAAAGACAGGCATTCAGTCAGGAGGTCCCATTACTCTGCGATCAGCCTTAGGAAGGCCAACATTCAAACACTGGGGTGGCCCTGCCACTGGCCCTTCATCATCTAGACCAGTAGTTTTCAAACCTTAAAGTGTTTACAGATCATCTGAGGAGATTCTGATTCAGTTGCTGGAGTGGGGCGTGAAATTCTGCATTTCCAGTTGTCTCCCAGGTGGTGCTGGATCTCTGGACTACCAGAAGCAGCTGGAGTACCTGCTTTTGGAAGAACTGGGAACCAGCCAAATCCAGCAAATTCGGGCCTAGAATTCAGTGCAGAGGCCTAGGAAGGTTACCAAGTTATTAGCTTAAGATTCAGAGTAAAAATGGAGTGAGCTGCAAGGCTGACTGATGCAGAGCTCTTCGGAACTGGGGCTCTCCATGCCCTGTTGTGTCCCCTGCCTGATGGAAGGAAAAGTGGATGCTTAGTGGTTGGGTGGAAACTAAGTAAGCCTGGAGTAGGAATTGGAGGGCAAGCAGGCTTGATGGTGTGGAGAACCTGCCGAGCTACAGGTCTTTCAGCCGGTTCAGAGTCCTGGTTTCTTAACCTGACACTGACCCGTCCTATTTTTGGCTGTGATCTCTCCTTGTACTTCACGGCCAGAGCCGGAGGTGCTGTCCAGTCTGAGCTGGGGCACAGGCCATTGACCTGGGGCTGCAGAGACCCAGATGCTGGTTGAGGAAAATGGAAAATAACTGGTTCTGCAGGTACCTATTTATTATTCTTTAATTATTTACAGATTACAACCTCTGGCTCAAGGAAAAGTGTCATTTACATTATGTTAAAAAGATGTCAACGCTGTGTTTGCACAGAAAAGACAATTTTGAAAAATGCAGAAAATTAAGAGAGAAAAAATTTACCCAGATTCCGCTATCGACAGAAAACGTCTAAACATTTATTGTTTTGTTTTATCCTCTAGTCATTTGTTTGTATATGAATAAGTGACTTTTTGAAAAAATATATTTTGTAATCAAATCAAACAAAAACTTTAAACCTACATTTTTCTCAGAGACTTCAATAAAGGGGCCAGAGCTGTTTTTTGTTGTAGTTTTTTAACGTTTTTAAGCCTGTGAATGGAACACGTGTTAAGGCACAGCTATGCAGTGGTTTTCCCACAGAAGTGCTGTGGTCTGCCCTCGGGTTATGCTAGAGGCCCGTTGAGCACAGGAGTCGTTTGTTTGTGTTCTCATCAGTTGGGTTGGTAATGCAGAGGTTGAACTCCATCATGGGCTCAGGAATATTTGCGCTGAGCAAACACGGGCTAGAAAATTACAATAGGCCTATCTCCTGTCCTTATTTTTTTTTTAAATAATCATATTACAAAGAACATCTTTATTCTTTTTAAATAACATGCTTTTTTTAACCTTTAGGAATTTGAAATTTGGTGTGTATTGTGTCACCAGGAATATTTGGTTCTTTATTTAGGAGGGACCTGTTTAACAACAGTCCAGTTAATATTTTACACCTACCTATTCCTATTCAAATTTTTGATTCAACAGTCAAGGTATGTCTGTTTTGTATATGTTAGCTTTCTATTGAATAATAACAAACACTGCGTAATGTATGAGTACTTAATGACTAATCCTAAGGAACAAGGTGTAATGTGATAAGTGAGGCCAGCCCTTTCCTGGTCTTCAGGGAGTAATTCTTACATGGCATACAATCGTAACATTCTTATAATACTTGATACAGTCTTATGCTTACACATTCCTGAGTCACATGATCTCAGATGGCTAGGAAGTGAAGTATTTATAAGAACCTTAAGAATTTAGCTTTGAGCTCTTCCTACCACAGATGGCCCTTGGAGCTTCACATCACTTATTGAAATGCCATCCAAGTAGGTAAACATGTGGAAGCAAGCTTTCATCTTCAGTTTGCATAGCATTCTCCAGTCCTTAGAATTTTTCCATGGCATGCTCTTTTCTGTATTGCATAAAAACATAGGCTAGTATACATGAGTGTACCATGAGCTCTAAAGCCTAAGTGAATTCAGTGCTTTAAGAAGTTAACTAAAGAAAACCCCAGTCAGTAATGCAAGATGTCATCCTGCCCTTGTCTGCAGTCAATCAATTAGTAAAGTTATGCAAGATGAATAAGTTCTGGACACCTGCTGTATGACATTGTGCATATTGTTAATGATATTGTATTATACACTTAAAAGTTTGCTAAGAGGGTAAATCTGATGTTATATGTTTTTACCATAGGAAAAGTAAAAGGAAAGTCCCAGCCTTAGGAGTATTGGTTTATTAGGACCTAAAAGCCTCAAAGAGTCAAAGATGACTTGATTAATGTTTCTAATTATGAAAACAGCCCAGTCATTAGTGTGCTCTTGAAAATTAGTCTTACTTTCATTTTCAGTGATTGGTTCTTCCTGTGAATGTTCTCAGACAGCTCAGTGGCCTGTGGGGATTTACCTGCTACTAATTCCAACTATTTAGATTATTTGATGCTTGCTTGCTTATAGATAATCTTCTGAATGGAGATATTTTATGGATGGTTTTTAGTTAATATGCTTTTGCTTAAATAACTTAATGTAACTTTCACATATATAAGTATGTTAAAGAACACAGAGACAGTACTTGTGTTCTTTTTTAGACCGTATGAGTATAGACAATAAAAAATACATCTTCTGTTTCCTGCATACCACTAACTGTGTGTTTGGGTAATGGCTGAAGTTTCTTTCCCTTCTTTTTTTTTTTGAGACAGATTCTCACTCTGTCGCTCAGGCTGGAGTGGGGTGGCATGATCATGGCTCACGAAATCTCCACCGCCTGGGTTCAAGCAATTCTCCTGCCTCAGCCTCCCAAGTAGCTGGGATTACAGGAGCATGCCACTATGCCCAGCTAATTTTTGTATTTTTTAGACACAGGGTTTTCTCATGTTGGCCAGGCTGGTCTTGAACTCAATGGCTGAAATTTCTGAAGGGAAAGTAGTGGCCGGCAGCAGCATACAATGCACACTAGGGTCATCAGGGAGGATTTTAAAACACTGATGCCAGAGACTTCAGCCCCAGAAATTCTAATTTACTTGATCTGGAGATGAGACCTCCTCTAGTGGCATTTTGTAAAAGATCCCAGGTATATATAATACACAGGTATGGTTGATAATCACTGGCATAGGGTACTTTTCTTGATCTGGGATCTGCTGGCTTCTAAGGGGCTCTTATGCTGTGTGACATTGTTATACTGACTTTAATGTTTGTGTGTGCACATGAAATTTCCTGGTGATACAATCCAAAGAATTTATCATATTGGGAAAAGAGGATGTGGCCGCAAAGTTAAAATGCATTTGTGCAGAAAGAGAAAAACGGAAATCACAGTGATCTTCTAGACTACACAGCTTTGGGAATTTGAGGAGGAAGGCAACAATCAGGGAGGGCATAAAAAGAGCAAAGGCAGAAAGAAGCAGTGGTGTGCTAGAGCTGGCGCCAGCTTGTGAGAGCCGTGTGCTTATCATCCCCATTTCCTTGTTCTGTGATTTCATGTCGTTAGCATCACAAAAATGGCAAATGCTACATATCATTTGACTCCCTCTCCCAGGACACACTGTAAGTATTAGGAAGGCCAGGTAGGGAGACATTGAAAGGGTGCGCAAGAGTGCTCAGTGTGCAGGGCTCAGCTGTAAAGAGCCTGAGAGCTTCTGGACTTGCAATCTGCCCCTTCTGATTGGATTTGGTTCCAGTTGATACAGACTGGCAGCAATCACCTGATCTCATTGGCTTAATAAGTGTTTATGTGCCTGCCTCATTCCCCGATATCCACGGAGGCATCTGGTGAGTGCTGAATACATGAAGGAAAACATGGGAAGAAATAAACTGAGAGCAGATAGAACAGAGAAGTGAAGTGACTTGTCACCTAGTAGTTAATAGCTGAGATAGAACTGGATCCTAGGTCTCCTAACTGTACTGCCCAAGTAGGCTTCTTGAATTATATTTTTATGAGTTAGGACCTTCTGTAAATCATAGGATGGTTGAGGGTAATCTCTTGGAATATCATGATCAGATTCGTGCTTTTCAGAACTCACCAGCTTAGAGTAATAGGATAGACTTGATGGGAAAAAGGCCTTAGGCAGCAGGGAGGTTGGATAGGAGGTTGCTGTAGGCCAAGTGAGAGAAGTCCTTGGGGAAAAGGTCAGCTTTTGCTGACTGTAGAATAAGAATTTTGTAAGACATAGAGGAAAAGGGGCTGACAGAGTGGGAGAAGTTAAATGAGCCTAGGAAGAGGGTTTTGAAGTGGGCTGGCTAAAGGCAAGGGATGGCGGGGTGATTTTGCTCCAATGACAGGATCATTTAGCGCATCAGGAAACGATGTAGCTCCCTTCCTCAGGCTGGTTTGGTAGAGCTGGCTCTCAAACATCCCAGTCTGACCCTGACAATGCATGAGACCTTCTGAATGCATGCTGTTGCTGCTGCATGTTCCTCTACCTGATGATAGTCACTGCTGTCCATGACTAGTAAGATTTCATTTACCCTTGGGAAAAAAACACACCTACCTTCTTACTCAGGGCAAGTAAATAATTTGGGTGCTGGTCCACTTGTCATGGTAACTCATATTCTGACCGTTGCTGTTGTCACTAGCTGGCCACCTATTACAGAGAGGTAGCAGCAGTCCAGAAAGGAAGACTTCAGAATTTGAAAAATAATTTAGAGGAAGTTAAACTGATTTTTTTTGAAATACGAGTGCTGTTTAAATGTTTTAGTATAATTATAAGGATATATACATGGTAAAGAAAAATTAAAAGAAAGCACTATAAAGGGAATGTTGATATTTAATAAGAGATTTACTTTTCTTCTCGATTTAATAGAAAAATTCAGCATGTACTAATTTGTTTACAGGTGCTTTTCAGTGGGAAGAATTGGAAGAAGATATCAGGAAGAAGTTGAAAGATTCTGGGGATGTTTCAAATGTAATTGAGAAAGTTAAATGCATTTTAAAAACACCAGGAAAGGTAAATTAATTTTCTGTAAGTTAGTTTTGTTTGACTCTCTGAATTATAACTTACATACTATGATGAATATAAAATTGAGTCTTTAGAAGGGTCAAATACTATATAAATCTAAATGTTTCTTTTTTGAGATGGAGCCTCACTCTATAGCCCAGGTTGGAGTGCAGTGGCATGATCTCAGCTCACTGCAACCTCCGCCTCCCGGGTCCCAGGTCAAGCAATTCTCCTACCTCAGCCTCCCAAGTAGCTGGGATTACAGGCACGTGCCACCATACCCAGCTAATTTTTGTATTTTTTTAGTAGAGACAGGGTTTCACCATGTTGGCCAATCAGGTCTTGAACTCCTGACCTCGTGATCCGTCCACCTCAGCCTCCCAAAGTGCTGGGATTACAGGTGTGAGCCATCGTTCCCAGTCAATGTTGTTCTTAAGTATATTTTGCCATTTAAATATTTGAAACATAAACATGGGTTATTTGTATCTTAGATTTTGTGTGTGTTGGGGGGCTGGGAGTGTGTGTGACAGGGTCTCACTGTGTCGCCCAGGTGGGAGTGCAGTGTCATGATCTTGGCTCAGTGCAGCCTCCACCTCCTGGGCGCAAGTGATACCTCCCACCTCAGCCTCCTGAGGAGCTGGGACTACAGATGTGCACCACCACACCTGGCTAATTTTTAATTTTTTGTAGAGACAGGGTTTTTCCATGTTGCCCAGGCTGGTCTCAAACTCCTGGGCTCAAGCAATCTGCCTGCTGTAGCCTCCCAGAGAGCTGGGATTACAGGCATGAGCCATCACACTTGGCCCTATCTTAGATTTTAACTTATGCAAAAATTAAAATACGTGTGAGTCATGTCTTTAAAATACTTGTTTATGAATTCTGCCTTCTGAAACATTCCCCTGGAGCTCTGGGAATACACCATCTATAGCAAGAATAAAAGGCTGTTTAATTTGTCCAGGTACAGTTAAGGCTATTAGAGGGTGTACCTTCGAACTCCTCACAACTTAAGTCTCAAATAGTTTTTGAGAGGAA